TGCCACACCTGTTCCCACTCTATAATCACGCAGGTGTTGCCACACCTGTTCCCAGTCTATAAGTGTGTTGCCACATCTGTTCCCATTCTATAATCACTCAGGTGTTGCCACGCCTGTTCAAAGTCAAAGTTAAACTTTATTTGTCATACACACAACACATGGTACATGTGGTGGAACGAAGTTGTGTACAGGGTCCCAGTAACATCCAACAAAAGTATAAATTGTATGAGAGACTGACTCATCAGGGTAATGCTAGCAAATTGTTAGCATCTTTTCAGTAACCGAGTGTTTTTTGTCCAAACTGGTCAGATGTCGTCGTTCGGAGGCCCAGGCATCGGATGGATTTGGGTGACCTCAATCGGCGTCTTTGGCATCTCCTGTCTGGGAATCGGGGCCGCGTGCTCCGAGAACACCATTGCCCTCAAAATAGTCTGTACAAGCTTTGTTATTGATGTATTTTGTTTTTCCCTGTCTTTTTTTAACAACAACAACAACAACAACAACAACAACAACAACAACAACAACAACATTAATTATTTATATTTTGTGTGCAGTTTGCAGGCTTCATGGGCATTGGAATGATCATCATGTTGATCTTTGGAATTATTTGGGCAGTTATAAGAAGCAAGGTAACTACTGATTATGTATATGTCATAGGCCCTGTTAGCATTTTGATGCTAGCATTAGCCTACATGCTAACTTTGCTAAAATTACATTTCAGTTTACTCGAGTCGATCTGCTCCATTACCGTGAGAATAAAACCATCTTGACGATGTCACTGCAGGCTCCTTTAGCCCAGCGTGAAAACTTAATTTTTAAAAATTTTTCTATGCATTCTCGTCCTGATAAAATTAATTTTTATAAACAGAGAGCTATAAAAGAAGCGCCATCAGTTCACCTTAGTTTTAACATTATTCAAACCAGCCATCATCTTATCACTTCTTTCAGAAATATTCTATTATTCACATCTTTTATAACAAATTTACAAATTAAACATCAAGAGGTAGACATTTGTCTTTTTCTTCCAACCTCTCTGCTTTACAACGTCTGGTTTCTCTCAAACTCCTCCAGAATGCAGAGAGTGCACATTAGATGTCTCATATGGCTTCTTCTTTGCCTGATAGAGCTTTAGTCAGCATTTCTGGATGATACAGTAATCTGTTCTTACAGACAGTGTCCAACAGTCTTCAATGTTCAGTCAACTATGATTTTATCTTCAGAACAGGAAGTGAAGGGTTTTAACTTCTCGTATCTCCTTCATAAAGGACTGTAGAAATCTGAAAATTAAAACCAGTGACCACCAGGTGCTCTTTTCACCCACAGCTCGACTGTTTTAGACACAGCTTGTAGTTTTTGTACAACTGTTGTTTTGAGACTTACTTTTCTGATTTACATTGCTGCCCCAACATCGTTTCTTCTCGTCTTCAGTTTTCTGTTATGCTGATGATATTTTCTTCTTTTGTAGACAAAACAAGGTTTCCAAAGTGCCACTGAAGAGTTTGCCCAGCAGTTCATGACAGAAGAAAACAACCGGGGTTTACTCGATGGAATCCAACAACCTGTAAGACGTTTGTACCGGTCGTCTTATTAACTCACCGGAGCTTAGACACTCTGCTGGTTCAAGGTCTGCAGCCTTTAGCTCTGGAAAAGTCACTTTACCACCTTCGCTCCTACAGGACACATTTGTTAAGAACCACAACAATGATTTAGTTTAAATGAAGCTAAAGGTAGTTATAAAGTTTCATTTATTTTTAGCCTGTATAATCTACTAGTTTACTGTATTTTGCATTTTTGGCGTTTAGATGTTCTTTTTTAAGTGTTGGACAAAAAGAAAATTCAGCAGAACTACATCTCGGTTCTAAAAGAGTTTGGGACGCTGCTTAAAGTGTAAAAAAAAAAAAAAAAAGAATCCTGGAGAAACCCATATTTTATTCACACGGATCAACGTGACCAAATGAAACGTTTAAACTTAGAAACTGTACCGTCATTTGGAAGAGGAGAACATGGACCTGGAAGACTCTCCTCTCCTTTGAACAACAGTCTGTCAACATTCAAGACCTGAGGAGACCACATGTTGCTGGTTTTGGAGGACCTGAGGAGACCAGATGTTGGAGGTTTTAGAGGACCTGAGGAGACCAGATGTTGGAGGTTTTAAAGGAGCTGAGGAGACCAGATGTTGGAGGTTTTAAAGGACCTGAGGAGACCAGATGTTGGAGGACCTGAGGAGACCAAATGTTGGAGGTTTTAGACCAGATGTTGGAGGCTTTGGAGGACCTTAGGAGACCAGATGATAGAGGTTTTAGACCAGATGTTGGAGGTTTTTGAGGACCTGAGGAGAATAGATGTTGGAGGTTTTAGACCAGATGTTGGAGGTTTTGGAGGAACTGAGGAGACC